AAGAGGTCGAGATGGCGATTACGTCCGCCATGATCCAAACCGATCATCAGCGCGTGGCGCTAGCTATTTATAAACTCGTGGGGCGAGCGCAAGAATGGGCACTTACGTGCGGTACTTTGGTTGAAGTGGCGTTCCCCTCCTGGAAGAAGCAGAAGTTGCAGCTTTCACAAGTGTTCTCGCCGCCAAATCGGACATATTACGTGCGATCGTGTTTCCTTGCCGCCCGACAGGGCAAGAAGGAGTTAGTGGACTTTGGACAAGAGTTGATAGCTCTCAACGCCGGGATGGCAGCAGATTCTCCCCCGAGACAGTCACAGTGATAGTCGTTATGGAGTGCCTTCGCACTGGTGCGGCCAGAATGAAAGTCTTCCATGTGCACCCGTCTTCTCTTGAAGAAGCGGTGAATGTGGCATTGCATTCTGAATTCAACTTTGAGTCGACACGGCCTGGTTAAAATGCACACCCTCAGAGCCCGTCAAGCGGGCCTAAGCCAATGGATCACAACTAAGCTGAGAAAGAGGGTGGAGCGCTTCGAGCTATCGGGCAGCGTTCAAACTGCCGACTGTGTCATGTCTGTGAAGATAACCGTCACATACGGACTAGTAATCCCTTCCGCAAGGCGCGTAAAGTTTTATCGAACCAACCGCTTCTCACCAGCCTGGCTTGTCGCGGGGAAACGAAAACACCCAGTAGGCGCAGGGCGGTCTTTCCAAGGGAAACTGAGCTCTGTTGAACCTCAACAAGGTAGTGGGCATGCAGGGATCAGCTCCAAAGAGCTCAGTGCTCATGAACACGGAAGGTGTATGCAAGCCGGGCTTGTTGTCGTCAAAGTGACCGTGAAGGGCTTTGAGAAGCATGGAAAATGTTGATCGATTCCGGGGCGTCGGGTAATTATGTTCGACGCTCCTCGATCGAAGGAAGTCTGCTGTATGCTAAGGTGCTGATAGCACGGTCGAGTGACACCGTCACTGTTAGCTTAGCTACGGAGACAAGTGTCGCTTTGCCGAAAGTCCCTGTGGACCTCGATGTCAAGTTTCTTGACTCCATAGCGTGAAACGCTGCTTAGTCGTAGACTTAGAAGCAAAGTAAAACCTTATCCTTGGTCTGGCATGGTTAGAACACCATGAGCTATGGATTGATTGGAGGTCGAAGGCCTAGAGCACTACGAGCACCTCCCCTGGTAGAGCTTTGGTCAGTCATCAACCCACCTCTGCTAAGAAGCAGAAGCACTATCGGCGCGGCACTTGATCGAATCGGTCAATGTGCTGGAGATTAGAGTACCGAGCTGTCAAACACCAAAAGTGTTTGGGGCAGGCATCCCGAGCGTGGCTTGCGCGCTGAACGTGGAGAGGCACGTTTCCAGTTTTGGAGCAGTCGCGGCATGCCATGCGTGGCATGGTCGGCCAAGGGCTGAGGCATCGTGGGCGAAATCCCAATAATTCACGTGGAGTGGCACGTAATTCATTGGGCACTGCTTTCGTTTTAAAAAAGGCGCTGCGTGGCAAGAGTGGCACGATCGGACAAGGGCCGAGGTATCAAGGGCGAGGCCCCAGTAATGCATGTGGAGTGGCACGTAATTCAGTAAGCACTGATTTCGTTTCGAAAAAGTTGCTGTATAGCCAGAGCGGCATGGTCGGCCAAGGGCCGAGGCATCAAGGGCGAGGCTGCAGTGATGCATGTGGAGTGGCACGTAATTCACTGAGCACTGCTCACGCTTCGAAGCATTTGCTGCATGCTACGAGTGGCTTGGTCGGACAAGGTCCGTTGCATCCTGATTAAGGCCCTTCTGATGCGCGTGAAGTGCTCGTTATCCACTAGACAAAGGTTGTGTAAATGGCAGCCCTTCGTCGAATGTTGTAAATAAAATCAAGACCTCGGTGGAATAGCGAGTGGGGACACTGGACGACGCCGAGTGCGTGTTCCCACTGGTTTCGATGAGACGTATAACCTCAATAGAGAGGAGACGGCGATGCCGTGTGGTATCTGCAAGATGTAGGGCGTCGACCCTAACCAAGAGTGTTAACCGTGGACAACAGCGCACAGTTTCACACCCTTGTCAACGGTATGACGGGCGAGGTTGACGGCGACGTCACCCCCGAAGCTATTCCCGCGGTGGATGTTTTTTGAAGCTGGACGAGATGTCTTCGAGGAATTTGGCGGTTCAGCGACTTAGCCGAGGTAGTCATTATGCGACCGAACGAGGAGATTTGCTCGCCGTCGCTTGTGGATAAAGCAGTTCTGGATGACACAAAGAGGTGATCGAACGAAGTGGATCGTCGATCCCGAAGGATCCCTCGGATCCGTACTATCCTTTGGTAAAAAAAAATTACGACGTCATCTACAAAGATCCACTGTCGGTCCTACCTCCGGACCGAGGTGTGCGTCATGATATTATCCGGGTTTCGGAAAACGAATTCTGCGTAACACGCCAACTGCCCCTGCCCAAGCAGCAGTGTGATGTCTTTGAAGCCTTCTTTTATTAAAGCACGATGCAGAAATTGTGCGTGAGAGCAAGTCTCCCCATTTGACACCAATGTTTTTTTCGGAAGCCGAAGGGCAAGTGACATATTATTTACGCTTGGAATAAGCTTAACGCTGGCTTCATTCCGGCACAGACGCCGATTCCTAGAAAAAATGGTCACCAGAACAACATGCTAAATGTACAAAGTACAGTGCACTCAACTTGTTCGATGGGTAGTACCAGTTGCTCATGAGAGCGAGTAAAATTTTGCTGAAAACGGTGAGTACTTCGAGCGGGAAGCTCTGGGAGTGGTTGGTGATGCCACAAGAGCTGTCAAATGCACCAGCAACATTTATCTGTCTTATAAAGCAGTTGTTCAGACCCCACCGGGCGTACGTACAGACATACTGTGACGACATATTCGTCCACATTAGTGCGGAGCATGGGAGAACGGATGTGGAATCCCACATTGTCCAATTAAGAACGGTACTCGAGTGCGTGCGCTTGAATAATCTAAAGCAGATAGGTGCACCTTCGGCGTGGAACACATCCCCCTTTGTGGGTGCTTCATTGTGAAGCGTGGCCTTCGAGCAGAGCCCGCTAAGGTCTAGGCCATTGTAGACTGGCCGGTTCCAAAGAACCAAAAGGAGTTGCGCAAGTGGCTTGGTCTCGCCAACTACTTGCACAAATTTAGCGCAAATCATGCGGAAATGGCACGGATTTTGTTGAATCTCATTAAGAAAGATAGGAAATGGTGTTGGGACACGAGCATTGGGAGGCTTTTGACAGGGTCAAAATAAGCCTCCTTCATGCACCAAAATTGGTGATGCCAGACCCTGATCGTCCTTTCAGTGTCGTCTGCGACGCTTCGGTCTTTGCCATCGGCTGTGCACTGCTGCAAGTTGACGCCAAGAGGCGAGATTGGGTGATTGCGTTTAAATATCGCCAGCTCAAGCTGCGGAGAGGAATTACTCATTCCACGACAAGGTATTACTTGCGACAAAGTCTGCACTTGTCAAGTTCAGGGCCACCTGCTCGGTTCCAAGCCGTTTATGATCTACACATATCATGCGTCACTATGCACTGCGACTCAGTCGCCTCACCTCTCGCAGAGGATGGCCAGGGGGCTCTCCTTCTTCGCCGAATATAATGTCGAGATAAAGTATGAGCCAGGAAAGCAGAATGTTTTAGCTGATGCGTTGTCACGCAGACCGGATTATGAGCTTGCTCATGTCACGACGGTGACG